ATGATGTTTTGTTACGGTGTCATTATTGGAGTTCAGAATGTATCGTTGGTGGGAGTTGGATTTCTTAAAACTGAAATTCTTTTACCACCTCATATATTACATAATTATTGGGTTTTCATCTCTCAAATCTTTTGTTATTTCCTAAGTTTTTTTTTTTTGTTTTTTGGTGATGCAATTTGTTGTTTTTATTTCCAAAGTTAAATTTGCTATCCGAAGAACAATATATATACATCTCATCCATATAGCATGCACATGAATTATTCTGTCAATAACAATTTCAGTTTTTTAGAATAAACGTTCATCAATAAAAAATGGATTTGGAAAGGAAAATAATGGAGCAAGGGGACAAAGAGAGAAATCAAATTCAGGTACATAGAAGACCAAGGGACACTTGCAACCAATATGAAATGTGTTCTCTAATTCCATTATTCTTTACCACTCGTTCCTAAAATTATCTTTCAAAAATCTACACACCAGAATTGGTGGTGTTCTGTAATTCATCACTTCTAATTGATCTATAACTATCACCTTCATTAGAATTTTTAATAAAAGACAAAATCTTCACTTCCACAGTCACCTCCACCCTCGCAAACACCGTTCAGGCAAGGCACAGTAGGTGTGGTGCAGCTTGATGTTCCTTTTGCATTCAGACAATAAGCAGAAACCTCACTTCCATAGTCCCATGATGAAATGTTAATCTTGTTCATTGAAATGTTGGTGCAATTTGTACTTGCACACTTCAATGTGATTGCATCCTTCCTAGCACTAGTTCCCCTCACACCAAAATATGTAACATTGCTCACTGACACTGCCTCCGTCTGCAACATTAATTAATTAATTAATTAATTGCACAAAATAATTAGAAACTTTTCATGTGTAATTAACTAATACTTTTTTTTATAACAGTCAATATATGTTATCATGTATATCTTTACCGAATTTTTGCAATCGTGTCGACCATTGCAGTAAAATTGGTCAATGATGATCGGATTTTTAGCTTCCCTAAGATGGATGTGTTGGAAATGGATGTTCCTGGCGTACCCTGAACCTCCCTGATAAACAACAATGTTTATGAGATGCTTAAATTAAGGTTATTGATCAAGTAAGTGATAGTTCCTGTCTAAATGTGTGGTCCAGATTTATTGTAGCTAACGAACGCTACTTGTTAATTATAAAGTTTGGCCCAAAATATAATTGAAAATATTGTTGTTGTCCCTAAACGCTACCTGCCAGGTCTTGATCCTTGCTCCATACATGGACTCTGTGAAGGTACAATTTCCCACGAACACTTCTTCAACTGTTTCATACGCTCCTTGTGCTCCAAGGCTTCCCACGCTACAAGATCATACAGAGTTCTAATTCATTTTATAATATATTTTTTTGCTCCATCTCTTGTCTTGTGGATAGAGAGAGCAAAATCGAATTTGAATTTGGTAATCTAAAGAAACTCGTGTGAAAACACTTGCTCCAAGGCCCCCCTTTTTTTTTTTTTTTTTGTGAGAGGCACACATTGTATCTGTTTCATGTAAGTCTCTTTTATGTAGGTTCTATATCAACAAAAGAGAAATTAGGTCATTGACAAACCTTATACCATGCCCTGGGCCACACATAATCCCTTTAATATTGATCTTGGAACAATTTCGCTTGATAGCAATGCAGTCATCCCCTAAAATCAATAAAAAGTAAAATCATTATTTTTATTAATACGAACAGAACCACGTAATTAAGTAACAGATATTGGGATTACCAGTTGCAATGGTGCTTTCATGGATGCTCACATTTTTTGAGCTTGAGAGATGAATTCCATCTGTGTTAGGGCTTGATTCAGGTGCAGTTATATTGAGATTAGTAAGAGTTACATTTTCACTGTTACTGATATAAATATGGCTTCTTGGGCTATTAACATGAGTAAGTCCCCTAAGATGAAGATTAGAGCAGTTGCTGAGGCGTAAAGCCTGCAAAACAATCACACGCAACTAATTAGACCCTTCTTTTATTAGGATTGTTTTTAGTTAAAAAGAAGGGGCTAAAATTTCTTTTAGGATTTCTCTTATAACTAATTAGCCACTTCTTACCTAAATTTCTATTATGAATTAAAAGTGAGAAGTGGTTTTTTTTATCCCTCTATACATATCTTTTTTTTTTTTTAACCCTGTTTCTTGATTCTCTTTTAATTTATTCAATTCAAATGTTAAATATAACAAAAGTGCAGAGTATGAAAATGAGTGTTCAAAAATCATTTTCTTAATATGTTTCGACAATATTAAGAAGAGTGGTCTTACTGCAGGACTATAGCAGTTTCCTTCACCCTGAAAATCGAGAGATTGGTATCTGATTATTTCCTGGACATAAATTAAAGTTTGGTTACCTGTGTCATGATGTAATTTGGATAAGGTTAATATGCATATAGAATGAGAAATGTGTACTTTGTGTTTTTGGTGTTCCTTTGGTTTATGCCACCAATTTTCACCCTGGCCGTCGATCTTTCCCGATCCATTGATCATGAGGTTGTCCACGTTTGAAAATAGTAGCCAGCTATTTCCAACACAACCAGTCCATCCACTTATATACGCAGGAGCAATGATAGTTCCAAAAAACTGCATCCAGCAAAATTAAGTTTCAATTCATCAATTTGAATACTGAATAAAACTGTAAATAATCGATCCAAAAGTTGTTAGAATGTGAGCATGATAGTGGGAGTTAGAACCGGTCATAATGCTTTAAATGAATCTTGATACTTAGCACTCATAGTTCAATTAGAATTATGTGTCAGTTTCCTACACAATTTTAATAGAAAATCACTAGGATTATTTCAATATAAATAGTGGTCAACGCTCTCACAAAATAGGTAGCTCATTAATGGATTTAGACCTATTGTAAGTCGAGCATATTGTTGTGCAAGAGAGGAGAACTTACATTTGAAGTCAAGCTATGACTTATCTTCTTCGAATTTTAAAGAACAGATTATTCTTATATGCGGTATTAGAGCCTTAGTTGAAAACTCTCATGACTTTGCATTATTGATTATTTTACAAAAATATAATCCAACTTTTCAGTTACTTTTTTTAATACCAGTGATATTCTACACTACAAGAAGAAGGATTCGAATTTGAGTCCATATGGAATACATATGAAACAACGTATACTCATATGAAACAACGTATACTGGTTAGAAGCTCCCAAAAAAGCATTTTTTATTTATTTCAACCATAACTAACTACCAAAAACGTTTTCTGCTATCTGAATACTACTTTGACATTTTCAAAATGCTCCAATAAATTAATTAGTACCTTAATTTGAACTGATCTCGACTTGCAGGGGCCCTGGAAATGCACGGGTTTCAGTTTAAATGTCTTTCCGCAAGGTATTTCAAGCATTGGCAGACCATAATAACTTCCTTCAGCTTCACACAACTCCTTCCATGCTTTTAAAAAGGCCTTTCATTGCACAAGATATATATATATATATAACAATCTTAGAAGGCAACTTTGAGGATTTAAGAATTAAAACGTAATTAACTAATTACAGAAAAAAAACTGCAGACACAAAGTTGAAGCCATGAAGATATTTATTACTTCGGAATCATCGTGCTGGCCATCTGCAAAGGCGCCATAGTCAAGCACGTTAAAAATATTACTTCGGGTTTCATCCACAGCGCCAAACACAAAACTCGTTAAAGCAATATAAAGCATCAAACTGGTGCGCAGTAGTTCCTGCATGTAGTATAATATATGTAGTAGTTATACTAACTTAGAGAATAATAATATATGTGTGAGCAAATTTTCGGAGTACTCCAAATACGGTTATATGGCGTTATTATTTTACTCAAATTATAACATGTGTATTTGTTTTCTATTAATATACACTAGAAATGAGACATCAGACACCTGAAATCTTATACCACGTATCATGTGTGCCATATACCAATAAAAATTTCTCTATTCTATGAATGTATGTAAGTATATAAATACATATTCCCAAATATAGTCGTAGTACTAGCTAGTAAAAACTAATTTACGGATAATAGGATTGCAAGATGAAAAAGGAGGTAGAAATTCTTGTATATGGATACCATTTTGAATATAACATCCACTGAAGAAATGGCATTGTCAAAAGTTTTAGGCGTGGTTTACATCAACTTTGCCCGACTTCAATAAATAGGAACAGTATTGGAGCAAAGAATTGCATGAGGAAAGTGTTTATTGCCATAGCTCATGGCGTTTGACTCGGTTCGATGGTTTCTAATTTATGAGAAAATACTCTATACAGACTCAAAATTAAGATCTCAATTAGGGGAACATTATGATTTGTGAAAAACATTTTTGGTTGCAACGGTTACACCTTTATGTATTCTTATTAATTCACGTATTAAATACAAGCGGATAACAGTTATAATCTATTGATAAACAGATATTGTGTATTTAGCATAAGTGACTTAAACACACTATAACAGTATGAAACTGTACTACCAAAAAACCCCTCACGTCTTGTGAGTTACATCGTATTCGTCAATGCATCTTTAGTGCTAGTGCATTGAAGAAGAGAGTAGCTTGTCAATCAATTCCCCAAACATAAGTTCTGGTTCGACTTAATAGCCACCATTTATAGGTTTTAAGTTTCCGATTTGAGTCTGAAAAAACTTTCGGGTACATTGGAGATGTCCCAAATATTGCAAATGGGTGAGAACGTGATTATGACAAAGAGTCACTAGAACCAGTTCACTAGCGTGTTGGACTTTGTAATTTACCAAAATAGTAACGGGGACACTTCGGTCATTTTAAGCTTCTCATCACACGATCATTCTTATTTTTAACCGTTGAATTAAATAAATTAAACAAAACAACAAACATGATTAAACAAGAACGTAAAAAATGCTTTTCATCCTTTCTCGAACAGAACCGTTACAAAAAGTTTTTTCGACATCATTTCCCAAATAGAAATGCATTCGGAATTCAGAAATCTTGCATCATCAGATACCGATATAAAAATAAAAACAGAAATAACGTGGAACAAAATCTTCATGGTAAAATCTCGATACTGGCACGAAATAATATTAAAGCGAATAACATTTTCTTTGTTCTCCCTCCTCCTTAGTGTCTCATCCTTTCTGTTTTAACCCACACTGCTAGATAGCTGGTACTTAATACATAATACTGCAAATGAATTCTGAAATTTCCAACTCTGCTAACATCTCAAAACAAGCCCTGCCGGGTAACAGGTTGTGGAGGACCGCAAATGTCTACACACCCACATTTAAAAACACTTATACATCTGCGTCGAGCTTCTACCGCATAAAACAAATCGTTCAAAATCAGTCTGATAAAAAAACAGAACGGTTTGCAACACCCTCCACCACCAGTGCAAATGACGCCTTCGTACTGAGATGTAAACTTCAATTAAGATGGCACTGCATACAAAGAAGATAGTACATTAGGAACGCGTAAATTCAGTTATTCACCTGTAAGAAGCACAGGAAGGGCTAGATGCGAGTAGTAAATTAGAATTATGGTCTGACTTGCAGTAACGATTGACATATCCAATCTGGTATGCTAAACGAGGAAGAAATAGCAGGACATTAATGGAAAGAGAAGGAAAATATCAACCATCTACTGCCATGTGGTTAAGTTGCTAACTGTTTTCATTACAAAAATAAACCCTAATTCTTTTCCTAAATAAAACAGAAAAAAAAATTCATAAAACATTAAAGTGGCGAGGTTGGTTAGTTAGGGAAACCCCAAAAGACTGGTCTTTTGTTTTTTATTATCTCATTTTTCTGTTCAAGAATAAAAAACCGGGGATGTTAATTGTTAAAAGTAATTTTTACTGAAGAAAGGCAATTATCGGTGTTGTACGGTTAAAATAAAAACAAATCTGAGAAGATTGTTAAACGTGATACAGGTTCTGTTTCCTAATTCCAATCAGTTATTTTCCGACCTTTAGACCAAAAATAAAAAGTTGACTATAAAGCAAAACACCACAAAAAAATATCCAGCAAAGAAAACATACTGTATGTGGCAGTATCGATCTGTTCAGGAAGCTCCTTTATATCAACCTCAAACCTCTCCTGAACCTGCATTTGCATACCCAATAAGTTTAAAACAACGGAAAAATTACAATAAACATAAGAGAACACACGTGGAAAACTAATTTCGTACATCATTTAGAACATCAGAGTCTGCTGCGGATGAAACAAACGTAATTGCAAGACCTTTGGTGCCAAACCTACCAGCTCTGCCAACCTATCAGAATTTTGATGTGAAAGCAAGAAGTTAGATCCAAGATATATTCGTGAATGTGTTAGCTGTTCATCGTCATGTTAATCGTCAGAATACTACTACCTACAACCATCCATCTTTGTACCAGGCACAATGTAAATGATCTTATTCTATACCCAAAAACTATAATACTCTTTAACGTAGCAGATCTACTACATATGAATATAAATTAGTAGCCAGCCATTCGCATAAGAGGCAAAAGATGTAATAGAATTGCATCTTCATCTATATTTATTTGAACAGTAAACCACACTGCATAAATGATCATGCATTATGATCATCAAAATACATTTTCAATATCAGGCTTCTCTTCCAGCTACAAGTAACCCCAAAAGAAAAACTAGAATTCTTTCTTAGTCTTCCCTTTATGGAAAGGTACCAAAGGCATATAATTATGCACCACAATACCCAAAAAGAAAAGAAAAACAGACGCTAATCAAAAGACAATACATAAGCTAAAATTCAGCTAGACAAGACTTATTCCAAACCATAATATCAACTTACCCTGTGTAAATAAGTGTCAGCAGAATCTGGCATGTCGTAGTTGATAACAATGTTAACACGCTCAATGTCAATTCCTCTACCGACTAAATCAGTTGCCACGAGAATCCTGTTCTGACCCTCCTTGAATCCTTTGTACCGCTTCAACCTACAAAAGAGAGACAATTTAAAATTAAATGGTCAACCTCCCAAATTGAAATAACTAGGCCAAAAAATGACGACAGTTCAACAAGACATTTTAAACGACATAAGGGCAATCAGGGGAGAGAAGTAGGGGCAGTGGGACACAAACAGCAGAAGATAACCAGAGAGAGTACTCATCGCCTATAACATCAATTTAAAAGTATGAAAAAACTCTAAAGCACAAGAATCACCAGGCATGCAACTAGAGAAAAAAAAAACATTTATATAACACTAGACAACTATACCGAGAGAAGAAAAAAAATTTGACACCTAAACATTAACTTTATAAATAAACACACAGTATAATAAACACCTACACAAAGCTGGTTAGCTAATAGTTTGGATCAAATTTTATAAAACGGTTAAGAAAACTATGATTTAAAGATGGAAAATGACATAAACTACTAAGATCAACTAAAGTAGAAGTTGGGGTAATGAAATATCCCAAATCCAATAAAAACAAAATTTGTGACAAAAAGGTGTCAGAGTAACAAGAATTAAAAACTTGACGAGGAATACAATATGGAATAATAATATATAGGAATTAGAAACAAACCTTTCTTCTTGGCTCATTCCAGAATGGATGCATATAGAGGGAAAGTTACACTCTGAAAGTAGTTTGTTCAGCTCAGCAGCTCTGCTAACGCTTTTGACGAATATAACAACTTGATTGAAGTCCAATGCATCAAGGAGGTCATTCAACTTGCGGTTCTTCTCTGCCTCAGTTAACTTGATGTAGTGCTGAAATTTTAGGTTATTGAGGTAAGATTCTTGTTTATTTTTATGAACGAACAGTGAAAGGTAATAATTATATGAATAAATAAGTGTAATAAACTAAAAGACCACTTGCAAACTAAATACCTGCACTAGACCATGCAAGGTCAACTTGGCTTCATCATCAACATATATTTCCATAGGCTGAAAGGAACAAATGTCACAGTAAATCATATTAGGGGCCTTCCTCAAGCTAATAGAATCCAGAACGAAATGAATGACGGATGCACATCTCCTGAATCAAGATTCTGCTCCCTCTGTTTTGTCTCCTTGAAGTTAACTTTTTCTAAATCACTTTAAGCCACCACCATTGACGCTCAATACAATCTATTAAGAAATTTGACTGCTGACCAAGGCTGATCCCAGTGGGGACACCAACATGAGTACCCCCGCTCCCCAACACCGCCGACCCACCCACCCACCGCTCTCACCCTTGACTGGAAAATAATGCCAATACACTGGACTACAAATTTAAACCCACAAGATGACTTACTAAAAACAAAAAAGCCAAACCCAACGAGGAAGATAAACCTAAGGAAATACTAATGCAGATTGCAAGGCACTTATCCCACAACTGAGAGAACTCCTAGTAGATGGCCTCCTTTGTGTATTACTCTCGCTTTTTACTCCGAATGAACACCCTTGTCAAGCCACAAATTCCAAATAAACGGCTGACTATGGTGGTCTCCAAATTAACATGATGCCAACGGTAAGCACATTATGTAACCACCAGATTCGACTTAATTACAAAACCTCTCGGAGAATGTGGGATTATGAAAAAAGAGACTTCAAAATTGAAGTAGATTCGGCCATGGGACATTACATCTTGCATAAATTTCTTGCAAACTGGGCGGATGTCTTTGCTGAGTGTTGCGGAAAACATCATCACTTGCTTATCGTGAGGCGTCATCTTGAAGATCTCCTGCACATCTCTCCTCATGTCTGCATTGAGAAGAAGCAAATATTAAGATGTGGGGACACTAACTGAGACATACATAAAAATCAGAGCACAACCGTAATTCAAAATAGGTAAAATCCATACCGAGTGATTCAAGCATCTTGTCACATTCATCAAGGATAAAATGCCTCACATTCTTCAAGGAGAGGTCTTTATCTCTTGCCAGTGCTAGTATTCTTCCAGGAGTTCCAACAACAATGTGCGGGCATTCATTTTTCAGTAAATCTTTGTGAAGTTTGATATTAACACCACCATAGAAGACAGCAACCTTGAGATCAGGCAAGTATGTACTGAACCTCTCAAATTCATGACAAATCTACACAAGAGTTCGAAGGCAAATTAGTATTGTATTAACATGAACAGATGGAAAAAATTCAGTAGCACATTACTATTAAATCAGATCCCAAATGTACCTGGTATGCTAATTCTCTAGTATGGCAAAGGACAAGGGCAGAGACTTGGCCTGCGACAGGGTCGATCTGCTGTAAAGATGATAGAACAAAAACAGCAGTTTTTCCCATCCCAGATTTAGCTTGACAAATAACATCCATTCCGAGGATAGCTTGAGGGATACATTCATGTTGCACTGATGAACCAAAGAAAACCGCATCGAAGGAACCATTGGTAAGTAAAACATTACGTCTCCAATCTTTTTATGAAAGTCTTTACCGAAACTCTAATAGTTCTCTGAATTCAAGATTATGATAGTAGGACAAATTACCTGAAAAACATAAACTAAACTGAATTAGAACTAAGCACATGTTCTAAGCACATAAAAGAAAACAAATGAGAGGAGGCCCGAGAAGTTAAATATTTAACCGACAAAGAAATAGATTGATAAAAATAACATAATGGGGATTCAAATATGCTTATATGACCAAAAACATAATCATAAACTTCACCGATGAAACAGGAAAAAAAATCAAGACAACATGGTTTGACTTCAGCTACAAAATAGCAATCGAAAGGTCTAAGTTCAAGAGTTTACCTTCAGAAGGATGCTCAAATCCAGAGTCGACAATAGACCGAAGAAGCTCAGGCTTCAAAAGGAAATCTCTGAACCCTGAACTGTGAATTCCAACATATCCCCTGCAAAAAAGCAATGACAAACATAACCAAATTAGACCTAAATAATATTCAATTGCAATCAGAATACTTCTGCATTACGATCGGATTTTGAATTACAACAATCATATGCAAGCAACAGATAATAAGCAATTAGAATAACGAAAAGGTTGAATTTTTAATTCCCCGAGCGACCAAACAACGAACTGAAAAAAAAAAATAAGTAAGCAAATATGTAGAACAAAAACTCACTTTTTGGGGGCTTCGCCGTTGACTTTAGCTGCAGAGTCAGGGGCCTTCTCCTCCTCTTCTTCGTAATCAACAAGCTCCTCGTCGTAGACGTCGTCCCTTGTTTCGCCCATGTTCTGCTGAGAAATGGACACTCCAATTAGGGTTTTTCGAAGCTCGAGACGCAATTAGGGTTTTGAGCTTTGAATCGGAGAAATTAGGGTTTTGGAGATAGAAAATTATACCTGAGTTGGAAGAATTAAGAGTGAAGGTATTGAGTTTTGGGGATTCTGCAATTGAAAAAGTTAGATGAAAACGCGAATTTGAAATTTTTTGTTGTTAGAGAGAGAGAGAGAGAGAGAGAGAGAGAGAGAGGGACGAGACCTCGACGAAAGAGGAGAGTAAGAGAGAGTGAGAGATAGGGTTACAGGAATTGGCAGCCGCATATATATAGAAGTAGCCACGTCCCAGAATTGCCCTTGGGGTTGACCGCAATTGCAACAAGATTTTTCAGGATTTTTTCTTTTTTAAAACATTTTTTTATTTTATTATTTTCATGGTAACAAGTGGCTATTTACTACAGTAGTAGAAATATTTTAAATCATTGCATGACGGCGTGAATTCAAACCTCATCGGTGGCTAACATCTACTTTAACAAAATCTATCATTTGATCCAAAAAAGAAAAAAATGGTTGGCTGCCTGCCTGTAGTTGATTTTTGGTCCTATTCATAGGAGAAAAAAGTATTTGTCAAAAAACCAAAAAAAAATAAATAAATCTCTACAACATTGACATGAAACAGATATTACTTTCTTAAAATTATTTTGATTTCTATCTTAATGCACATAGCAAAATAAAAAGTATGCAAGGCTCGTGTTACAATTCGTAATACATAATTGAAAATTTTAAGATATAGATTCATTCGAAATAAATTGTTCTCATACTTATTATTTTTCTTATTAGTAATTTATGATTGTTTCGATCCGAACAAGTAAACAACTCCAAAGTTTGGAGTTTGGAGTTTGGATAAAGGCTAACCATGTCATTGTGCAAGAAGTTGATCCTCCTAACCATGTACCACCCACTTTCTCACCCCCATTGAGCTTGACTTGTAACTAACCTCCAAAAATGCATCTATTTATGACATCCAGTCTCTCGAGCATTACAACCCTTGTCACAACCTTATATGCATAGTAAGATATTATTCATTTTAGGCCACGCCTTCACGGGTTTGTTCTTGGACTTCCACCTAAAACACGTCTTACTATAGGAAGGTTGGTATGTACAAATAAGGCACATCTCTTCCCCTTCTCCGGACGATATGGGATCTTACAACCCTTCCCTAATTTTCTTTGTAAAATAGCTTCTCTGAAATGACCAAAATGTCTCTAGAAGCATAAATTTCGTCTCCTGTCGAACCTCTGAGCTCAAGACACGTAGTAATCAATATTCGATTTCATTTGGATGGTGCTCATCATCATGAATGCCTAAGCGCGAATGATGCAGAAATCGGTGTTTTAACAAAGAAAAGTGCATATTTTAAGTATAAGGGCAAAATGGTAATTTTGAGGGACAGAAAATTGGCTAAAGGCAGCAGCTTCGGTGCCCTGTCATTTGCGTGGAAACGAGCAGATAAGCCTGCTACTTCTCTCTTCTTTGTTTTCTACCTACTCAATCTCCATTCAAACTAGTTTTCATCATAACTTGCTAGCTCCCTCCTCATTCTCCAATGGCTTATGCTTTGTACTTGGCACCTTCAAGTTCCTTGAAAATCACCCCAGAACCAGGTCTCTCTCCGCTTCTTTCGTCTTGTTATCGGCTTTTTTTATAGTTTGGACCGGAGCATAGTATGCGCAGTTGGATCCTTAGCCGTTGGATTTTTGGCAGTATATTGAGTCGTTACTTCACCTGTTACATGCTATGAGCCGGTTCATTCTAAAATTTCCGCTTGTTTATGTACTTTCTCATGAACTTGGTTGTTATTTGATCACTGACTTGAATCAATGTATACACAATGATGGATAGGCAACCATAGCGCTACTCAAAAGCTGGTTCGAATGGATAAGCTGCTGCAAATTTCTCCTGCCGCTAGATTTAACCAGCTCAAAGCTAAGGTTCTTTACTTTTTTTCCCCGATCTAACCTTGAATTATTTTTTAATTTACAAAGTATCTAGTGTTCAAGTTTATTGTCTATGGGTCAGATGGTCACATCATACTTTGGTGTTAGAGCATGTTATTCACGTATTACGCTCAGACGCTACACATGCCCCACATCCCTAATAACAGTTGAACACGTATTATGTCAGATTGGAAATGAAAGTCATGCATTAGGCGCTTAAAAAATAATTTTGATTAGATATATGTTGCATGCTGAAATTTTGGTGTTGTTTTTTCATCCCAATAGGCTGAGAAAAGCAATGAAAGCGTAAAACCTAACAGCATGATTTGCCCTGATTGTGATGCAAATGGTAAGCCAACTCTAAAAGCATGTATATATACTAATTTTCGTTTTGGGGAAATTATATTCTTGTATTGTGAATTGGTCAGGTGCAGTTCTGTGCTCACAGTGCAAAGGTAGTGGAGTGAACTCTGTTGATCTCTTCGGTGGACGGTTTAAAGCCGGTGACTCGTGCTGGCTCTGCGGGTAACGCCTTTTTTTATCATTCAACTACGATTTTCGGGTAAAATGATGTGCTATAGTTTTCCCTGGAGAGTGTAGGGTGTAGGGACTCACTGAAACTAACTGTTTTGCTATTCATTCTCGTTGTTCTTGTTTCCTTGTAGTGGAAGAAAAGAGATGTTGTGCGGAAATTGCAACGGAGCTGGGTTTCTCGGAGGTTTCATGAGTACTTCCGATAGTACGGCCGAATGATGGAAAAAACCATTAGCTGCACAACCTTCCTAGCTTTGGACTTGTGTACATTGGCTATGCATAGTGATATAGTCTGTGACATTGTATATGGATGGAAATTTATGGGATTCATATTATACGGCGGTTAATTTGCTGTTTCGGGTCGAATTTGATTACGAATTTCAACTTAATGAACAGCTTTGAGTAGCATTTTTTCTGCATACGTATTACATATGACTATGTTTACTAAAATGCAGATAGAAGTAGGAGTTCATGTCTCCGTTATTTTACAAATGGTTCATATTAGGATGCCCTGGTGATTGGGTATCTGAAATGGCTAATAGCTCCTGATGAATTCACCCATATTTCTCTGAAGCAAACCGGCCCCCACTGAAACGGGATCAAAGACATGAAACACATGAGACTCCTTCTCCGCCTCCACCAGCTTCACTTCTTTAACTCCTTTTTTCTGCAGAAACTCTGCATACATCACTCCTCTCTCTTTCAAAAAATCCAAGCCAGCCACATAAACAACCACAGCAGGGAACTCATCGCTCCATTCGGTTGCAGACAGTTCGGTCTTTTCAAAGTTACATCCGAAATAGTCTCGGTTGGAGCCTTTAGGTATGCTTAGTCGCCAAAACATGTCATTGCTCGCCACATCCTTTGCTCCCTCTTCAGCCATCTCTTTCTCGGTTCTCTTTTCACTCCCAAAATAAGGATGTACCAACAACAATCCCCTTATTTTGACACAACTGATTCGATTGCAAATGGCTTTGACAGCAACGTTGTGTGTTATGTTCCCTCCAGCGCTGTCCCCGGTGAGAAAAACCCGAGAGAGATCAGCTTTGTCCAGCCATGGTTCAGAGCTTGCTTGGCGACTAAGCCAATCGAACGTGTAATAGCAGTCTTCATAAGCTATGGGGAGCCGGTTCTCTGGAGCTAAACGATAGTCAACGGAAACAACAATGGATTGGGATGCAACAGCTAAGCCTCCTAAGAAATGATGGTAGCCAAGCCATGTGGTTGAGCCAATGCAGAAGCCACCACCGTGAAAATTAACCACAACCGGAAGCTTCTTCGAAGATGTTGGATTACTAGGAAGGAAAATCCTTCCCGTAATGGGTTTCGATGAGTCAATAATCACATCCTTGGACTTGAATCCGTCGGTTGATTCTGGTGAGGCAGAAGCCACCCCGGGTGAAAAGCGTTTTACAGATCCATCGGAAAAAACTTGAAGAAAGTCCGGTGCTTCTTCAACAATGGACATAATTCTTCAAACGAAAAGAAGCTCTTCCAGTTTCTTCAACTGAAGGTCTCCCAGTTCGCGAGAGTTTATAGAGGGTTGGTGCTAGTAAAGATATGATGTTAGGTTCTTCATGTAAAGTGTGTTGGCCAATAATACAAGAAGTTGGTATTAGAAAAAGGGTAGGTTAAATGTAGGAGGAACTGAAAAGTTTAGAAGTCAAAGAGGTGCGTTATGTATGTGTAGGGCAAAAAGATTTACCTAACATCAAGACCGGACTTTGACGATATCTCCTACCTTGACGGTATTTCCAACCAATAATGCAATATCATGTAACTTTATACAAGATTCTAAAAGACGCTAGTCCCTAGGCACTAGTCGGGCGGTGAGTTGAGGCCTAGCGCCTAGGCGGTTAGATGAGGTCTAGACAAATTTAATTAAATATATTATATTTTGTGTAAATATGTATTTATTTATACTTAAAATATATATGATTTTATCGTAAACTACAAAATGGAATGACATATATTATGAGCTATTAGAACATAATAAAAACATGGAGAACAAGTATATAATATGTGTTAAGATACCGTTTGGTACATGGGATGGGACGGAATGGAGTGGGACGAGGCGTTCCGTCCCACGTTTGGTGCGCCTAAAACGGGTGGAACACGCTGTTCCACGGGACAAATTTTGGGTTAATTTTCATTCCGCCTCATCCCCTCGGACCGACTCGTTCCACATCTGTGGAACACAAAATTATAACATCTCCGTCTCATTCTTCTTCCTCGTTTCCATCTGAGGGCATCTTTGCTTCCTCTCTGTTCCGTCTCATCCTGTCCCGTCCCGTCTACATACCAAAAGTATTCAACAAGTCTCTTACAATATTAAAAAAATAAAATACAAAATGAAAGTTATATATTTTCTGTCTAAGTAAGTCGAAACCTAAGCAGGTGTCTAGCCGGATCTAGACGGGCTAGGCAAGTGCCTAGGCGGTCTAGGCAAGCACCTTGGTAGATCTAGACACCCTTTCTTAATTTTCAAATGCCTAAGCATTAATCGAGACGGAGGCTAACAGCCTAATGTCTAGGGGGTGATTTTTATAACAGTGACTTTACAATATAGCAATGCATTATCGAATTGGAATACCGTCAGAATGCCAATCAGCGGAAGGGCAATGAAAACTAAAATTCTGGAACTTTGTACAAAAAATTAAAATTTACCGAAAAAGGGGGCAACAATTGATAATTCTAACAGATAGGGAGACAATCATCTTCACACGAGTTAACGTCAGTTTGACATGCAAACAGTGGTCAGGGTAAAAAGGGATGGGATTTCAAAGGCTCGATCCCACCGTTATGAGAATACAATTGGTATCTATGATTGGTCTAAATTCAATACCAAAAGGAAATTCAATCCCTAATTTTTCAAAACCTTTATTTGGCTACTTGTTCTAAAACAGGCATATTCTTCAAATCCTCTTCCATCACATTCATTTGCAAAGGGGGCAATGAGAAGGCACTCACAGTTGAGCTTCCACTCCGTACCTCTTTCAAGACACGCAATGCTGACACAGTTTGCTTCACATAGACGCTCTCCATCTGTTTTATTTCTGCAAGTTCTGTGGGCGCTTTAAATATCCTATCTCTATTTTCAGTCACAGCCGTAGACTCGCACCGTTCTTCCACTTTGGTTGCTTCAGATGGGGCTGATGGGTCATTCTTGGAGAAAACATGATCGAGCATCACCTCGCACTCCTTTACAAGCTTGTTTAGTACATCAGTAGTGAAGAATGGTTGTTGCATGACCCTTTGGACAAAAGGAAGGCGAATTAGAGCACCAGTTCGCTTGTCATGTTTCTTTAGTATCTTCAATAGTCCTGTCGAGGAAATAGGAAGCAAAACACACCAAAAAGCACGGTTCAAGATTCTAACAATTAGGAAAAATAAAATAAGATTGATAAGTTCCTTTAACAATATTAACCATTCATTCAACTGAACTCGCCCATGTTAGAGTTTTATTGGGCTTTACACCTTTATAAACATGTTATATTTTGTAATTACTATTTTTCAATTACAACAATAAGAGATTCAATAGTTGGTAGTCTCATGCACGATCGTGCACAACCAGAATGTCAATCTTTTCAAGACCAGGCATCTCTTTTACAAGTTTTGCACACAAACATAAGATAAAGATGTATACCTGTATAGTTAAGGGCGCTGTAATTTTCTAACAAAACCATCTCTCCATGAAAATCAACTATCTCTCTCCCTACATTCATCAACTCTTCATTTGAATCCTTTGCGTCCGCTACCCTGTCTTGCAGCTCCTGTATTCCAAAATCAGAACCAGAAAGTACGCAAATTAAAAAATAATCAAAGTCGCATGCCTCTGTATCTTAGGACACACTTTCTGCTAATTGGCAGGTCCAAAGAAATACATAGAAAACTCAGGGGGCCAAGTGTATTTGCAAGTTCATTAATAGAAGTCGTTAAGTCTTGGCGAAGAAAAGAGTAATACTTGTGCATCATAACATGCCAAACAAAGCATCAATACCAATGATTATAGTAGTGCTTTTGGCCAAAGACTATCGAAAGCATGAAGCATGTCATGCTCTCCCTTAATCATATTGTGTAAGGCGATTACTGATAGAAGAATTGTGTGACACAATAAAACTAAATTGACGGTCACAACAAAGAAAAGTGATAAGTTTTCCAAATTCAATTAGCTAATAAAAAAGTGATCTAAGTTTTCCAAATTGAATTAGCTAATCAAACTTATAATACAGACATACTGCTTCAGGTGATAAAGGGTTGAAGAACAAACTGCAAATGTGCATTTGATGATGATATATACAAATTGGAGACAAAGGGATTAGCAAATTAGCAGCCAGGAAAGTCCTGCATCAAATTATGTGAAGAAAAAAAAAGACCACAGAAGTTCATCGGCAATTAACGTTGCGAATATAGGTAAAGATTTTTGTCATGTTCCGTAGATAGACACATCATGAGTGCTCTGGGCAGTGGATTGCGGAATACAAGACAGATATATATCAAACAAATCATACTATTTCTTTAACAACACTGATATAATGTCGATAAGTTCTTATATGCCTTAAGTGGTTGTACCAATTGCTGCAAAACCCGACATTTTAAGTCAAATGGAGCTCTGAAACAAACAGAAAACCAATTTCGGGACCAATTCAACCAAATTACATACATCAAAATTGGCTAGTCAAATTAAATTACATACCTAAATCTACAAGATTGCTACTGAAACCAAAATTTACAGCAAAACAATGGCCTAAAACAATGCAAAAACCAATCAATTTCATCCAAATTCAATATTATACATCAAAGACACCATCTTTCTATATGCTAAACCAAAATTATCATACAAAAACGTAAAATTTCCGAATTCGCAAGCAGCAATTCAATCTCTCAATTTATCAACTAATTCTCGTAATTCCCAAAATCCGAATTGTATTCTTAGATAATAATTTCAAAATAAAATCAAGAAATTATACCTTCCATCGAATAACGTAATCTTCCTCCTTCTCCTCAAAAAAAGCATTAAACTTTTCCAATTCGTTCTCCAACAACCTCACGAAATCCGTTACCTCCTTGGAAACCTCACCGCCCTCGCCGTCAGCACGATCGTCGTCGTCGTCAGACAATCTAGGCCGTTTATTGGGAGGCTTGTCTCCGTCTTTGGGGTAGATCAGCTTCAGCTGCTTCTTCAAGTCCTTGTACGACAGAAACTTGTCCCGCCATTCCG